GAGAGGGGATGTTGAGGGGAACGAGGAGAAAGTCCATAACATTTAACCAAAGAAGGTCATGAGATGCCCCGGTATTACACTCTAGGACAGGGCAAACAAACTGGCCGCACCGAACGATGCAAAATTAGTATTTTTTGTTTTTGTTTTCTTCGGCTCGACTTTTGAAGAAGCGTACTTAACTTTTCGCGTACTCCTTATGCGATCGATAAGATGCACCGTAACCTCCGCACAGCCATACCTTCACCCGCAACTCCCCCTCCCCCCTCTCCTTGCCTGAGGTAAAACGGAAGAAAGGGAACTTCTACGAAAACCTGACACAAATCGTATTCTGTGAAGTCACTCTAAACTATGCAAAATTATGTAACTTGATAATATTTTTTGCTAGCGTGAAAGGTAATGGCTGATACTACTTTGCGAAACGAAACCAAACGAAACGAAACGAAACCAGGCGAGATATATAACGAAACTAAAGGAATTATGCAGATGTATTTTCTAATAAGGTAAGTGATTCGCTCCTGTGATTGAAGGGACTATTTTAATTTGAAGATTTCACCACTAACTGATCTTCACGTACATGGAATTTATTTTGCACTCGTAATAGAAGAAGAAGTAGTCAACTGAAAAATTAAATTAATATTACAAAGAAGGTTATTACACATGTCAATTTCGGTTGAAGCGACAGGCAAATATTATACTTACAATTTGTGTTCCATATGCGGCTAGTAAGCTTCGATGTGCGATCGGTGGTGACACTTTTGAGATGTAAGTTGCGTAACGAACTTCTAGGTTTTAAACTAGATATACCTATCGATAGAGTGCCAACGAGCGATCAATTTGTGGTTTGATAAGGGGGTTTATGCTGAGGCATAGTTTTTTCCAATTGATAAAAGGGTTTTTAGTAAGAGTAACATGGAAACTGTACTAAGGTTTTAAGGGCTTGGTAATATTAACCAAGTCATTTAATAACTTGAACATGTGAAAGGATGTGAATAGTTCTTGTTATTAATGTAACATTATAAAGAATAACATAACAAAGAATATGAATCGTGTTGTATTGTATAACTGTTGCTTTGAAAGAGCATAAAAAAACAACACTGAATTTTTCATTTACAATGTAACACGTCTTTTCATTGGCTTGAATAGTTCCTTCCTTGCAATTGGCTTAAACTGAGACATTCTTACATCTTACACCTTACACCTTACACTTACACTTTTCAATGCCGATCGAGAATTTTTTCGCATACACCATTCTTCGCGCGGCACTATTATCTGCCGCCTCGCCAGCCGAGCGTCTTCGCTCGGCTGGCTCGTTGGCAATAACTAGTGACCTGATCTATTTTTGGCACGTTGCGCTAAGATAATTAAATATTCACAAAAAAAGTGACAAACGGTTTGAAAAATGCAAATCAGTAAGGGTAACTTCCAAAAGGGTTTTGGAGAAATCGTCAATTGATAAGAAGGATTCTAAGTCATTTCGCTAAATAGTAATTTAGGAAGAGTTACTCTTTTGCGATATCGACCATTTTTTCCCCTGCGGTGACAATGTGACCTCTTTCATGTCACAAAAATACATTTAAACATTACAAATTAGTTAGTACAGAACCAAACATTTTGGCGTCTTCTTATTCCTTAAACCGTATTAAAAATATACTTTGCAAAATAGTAATTTTAGGAGAGACACTATTTTAAGAAATAGACTATCTTCACCCAACAAAATGTCGTTTTTTTGGGTCACAAAAATTCATTAAAACTTTAAATTATAGTATATTCCGATAGATCTTGGTCACCTCCTATTTCATTATCCATGTAAAATCAATTTCGCAAAGTAGTAACTTTATAGCAATTACTATTTTGCGAAATGAACTATTTTCACTGAGCGGTGACGATGAAGCCATTCTCGCGTCATACAACGGCTTTGGTAATTTGCTTATTTGAAATATTTAAATTTATTTTCGTCACATAAAAGATGTCACATTGTCACCGCAAGGTGAAAATGGTCGATTTCGCAAAATATATGTAAAAAATTGAAAATCCTCCTTCACGATTAACGTTTACTCCGAAATTATTGTGAAAGTTATCTTTAAATATTAGATAATATACCGCATTATCCTTTTAGTTTCGCTTGGTTTGGTTTGGTTTCGTTTCGCAAAGTAGAATAAGCCAAAGGTAATCGAGATTCACAACAACACTGAAAAGAATTCATTTTCCACGCCTAATTCGGGTAAATTTACAATTTACTGTCCGCGTTCAAATGTATACTTTGCTTTAAGGATACAGAAAAAGATTATGAGCAATTTTTGGTATAGGACGTATAGAGCAAGAAGAGGACGATGTTCGATTCGCATCGCGCTTTCGAAACTAGATTTCAACGTCCAAGCGGTTTCTGCTTGCATTTGTAAACAGTGCCGTCGTCGAATAACGTTGCATCGTTGTCGCAAAATCTCAAGGTTTTCATAGATTTCATTGAGAGATAGTTAAGATGCAAGTGTGAAGAAAGAGTGTACTCTTTTCTCAATCGAAAGAATGGCTGCAAGAAACAAATAGCTTTGATCTAACAGCTACGCAGCACCGTTTGCAAAGAGACCGAAAGTTAAAGGCGACTTCTATATTCTGTATTAGAGACTGAAAAACTTCAGGTTAACGTGTTAAATTCAACCTGCCGAACTATTTTCGTAGATTGTGGTGATGTTTCGTAGATGTTTGAGGATTTCAGAACTTGATGGTTTGACATTTTTGACAGTTTTAGTCTTGTTCAACCAATCAGATTATTTGAATTATTCTAACAAGGATTCTGATTGGCTTATTGTAGTGTGCGTAATGAAAGTATAGAGCATGCTGACGACACTATTGTTCGCTTTGGAAACAAA